TACTGGGCCGCAGCCGGCCCATGCGGGAAGGGGAAGATGGGAGGGGGAAGTGGGCTGTGTTGTGGGCCGAATGGAGAGGGGAAGGGAGAGGAGGCCCGTTGCCCCTTTTCTATTTCCTTTCCTTTTCTATTTTCCTTCTTTTCCTATTTAGCTATTTTGAAATGGTTTGAATGCAAATTCAAATACAGTTTGAATTTAGTGATGCCGCCATAAGTTCAACAAGCAAACAAACACTCAACCAACCAAGGTTTCCTAATATTCTATTCCTATGTTGATTTATTTATATTTTTTTCTAGGTTAACTAGATGTATGTGTGAGTTTCTATGCAAAGTTGTAAAAAGTTCAAATTTTTAGTGATTTTTAAACTAAGTCAAATTTATAGGGTGTTACAGCTAGTTGCCCGTTAAAGCACTATAATATCTTGTGGGTGCTCCAGGAAGTTTATAATCACCCTCGAAATTTAGTAAGAACTCTCAAGCTTGAGACTTGCTCTCTTGCCTTGAGAAGAGGATAGGGTTCGATGAAACCCAAGCCTTGGTGGCTTGCTCAACAACATAGAGGTAGGCTAGCTTTTATGGTGAGCCAAACCTCAGGATAAACACATTGTCCTTTGGGTTCTTGCTGTTTTCTTTGTGCTCTACTTGTGTTGGTTGTGAAGTTAGGGTTTGCACTCGATCTACTTGTACAAGAGTTTCCAACCTTGGAGAAGTGGTGGAATAGGACCTAATAATTACTACTAGGAATAGGAACACACTAGTAATTCACTCAATCTACTATTCCTTTACCATATTTTGAATTGTGGTTTCGAGTTGCTCTGATCCGCGGATCACAAGTGCAGCAGCTGTGTGCAAGTACGGAATTGCCACATCTGTACTAACCGATGCAATTGAGTTTAAATTTTAAATAGGCATATTCACGCTCCCTGTAGGTTTGCCTGATCCTTTTCAGGCTACTAAGGGCACGAGCGCCATGTAAGGAGATAGTACTAATTATGCAGTAAAGCAAAACGCCAATTCTCCTCTCTATATATTCTTCTTCTAGCTCCATTCTTTCCCTTTTCCCATGCCACCTACGCTAACACCGCGTGCGCTGGTGACCGCCTTGGCGGGGCAGCACGTCTGGTGTAGCATGAAAACATGTTATGTTAATTGCTCAACCACTGCGGCGCGCCCCTTTGACTGCTCAACCAATGGGTGTAGCATGAAGATATATAGGGTGCCTACAACAATCATGTTACCTTAACATTTAGGCCCTGATCGAGAAACATGAAAACATGCATGCACATCGCCGTCTTGTGCAGCATTCAAGTCAGAGACAGGCAGACAGCCCATGTCCAAGGTAACACATTAGCTGGGTAGCAAGGACGTACAGCAAGTAGTAGCGCAAAAGTTTCAATTTTTGTTACGGTCACTTGAAAACAGCCCTGGGTTTGCAAGACTTTCAACGTTTTACCCAACGACAGCTTCGTGCTACTACACTGTTTTGAGTGTACTGGGTAGTACTGTTCAATTACCACCATTTCACTCTGAATCAATTCGGGAAAACCTCACTCGGGTCGTTAGATCTCGTGTCTCGTGACTCAGTGCCTCCACCACCGTTGGTCCCCCTCTCTCCCCCCTCCGGCATATCGCCGAAGGCCAGAGGGAGTGGAGATCAAACGTTTTTAATAGATTTTTCCAGTAGATCGAATCCTTAAAGTTAAGGTCTCTCTATGCCAAGTTTCTTGGTTTTGGGGATTCATCTCCTCCTCTCCGGCGACGACGAAATGGTATGGTGGAATCGTTTTCTCTATGTCAGCTCTGTTGAAAAAGGTGACGACAAAGTATGACATGAAGACTTTTATTTTCGGACGGCGACATCAAGGCGGAGATGGTGTCACCGCCATGGAATAATCTTCTCCGGTCTTTTCTCCGTTTTATTGTGGTTAGATCTGGCCACGATGAATGACTAGAGAATAAGTTTCAGATCGGTATTTCTCATTCTTCGATGACAGAAAGAAGTTTATCAACTCCGCCTACATGAATGTTGGCCGTCGTTTGTTGGGCATCTGTTCTCAGGCCTTTTGCCGAGTGTTTGCCTGTGCATCCATACTGCAAAGCGTCGTACATGTTTGGTTTTGAGATCTAGAACTATTCACAGCGTGGGTACAATTTGGATGAAAATCAATTTCTAGATGTAATCTAGAGTGCTCATAACATGTTGATATACCTAGCTATTATCTAATATAATTCTTCTTTCGTCGAAAAAAAGAGTGTACTGGGTACTGACCCCGTCCGTAGTGCAACTAATAAGGCTACGTGCTATGTTTGCCATGTCGATCGCCTAGTCAATAATGACCTTGAGACCTCTAGAATGATGTCGTTGTAGTCGGTTTAACTAATGCGTGTCCGTGGCAAAGGAGCATCAGGGTTATTAATTGGTACGTAGAATATATTTTACTGTAACAAACATTATATGTCTTTATCCCAGTTTCTAGTAAAAATAAAAACCAGACAGTAAAAGTGTTCCCAACCTCATCACCCTTACTAGAGGTCCAGTAAAAGATATCATTTGGAACTTTCGGCCAAGCATCTAACTTTCACCTTTCCCTCCAAATTAAAGCACACCAATTGCATGCATGTGGTTGCAGTGCCTTGTGCTAGCTACCTGTTTAAGTACCTTGAACAATACGATCGACCCTTCATCGAAGAAAAGGTCCTTCCTTCTCCTTCTGACGTGGCATGATTGCTCCGCTTGGAGCCTCGTTGGCACACATGTAAGTGCAATGAGAGGCAATTATGCCCTAAAAACCCCACAGGAACAAGGACAAGTGCCCCGAAAGCCATCATTTAACCCCCTTCCTTTTTTTTCCATCACCTTTTTTTTTGTATCATCATCAGATATAGTTTGGTCACCTAATAAAAGCCCAATTCTTTTCTTTGCAGAGTAGGTTTGCCAACAAGTGCATGCCAACATACCATGTGCAGAAACCTTCCCTTTGCTTCATCCCTTTATGACAACCAAAGGCAAAGAATCCTTTTCTTGGGCATTTGCACTACGGTAACAGCACGCAACCACTGAAAAACTTACAAACAACTTCTGCACAAAAAGGATTCCTTAAATACTGCATGTGGACTGGAGAAATTTCTAGCTATAGCACTCAACCACTAAAAACCTACAAACAACATTATGTGTACAGATCAGAGGTGCTTACAAACAACATTATGTGTATATATTTGCAAATGTATGTATATAACGAAAATCCTTGAAGCAACCACTACATACAAAGTCTTATTTCCTAGGTTAAAGCTAAGAAGGGGGATTTTCAGTGCTTGCCACTCACTCATATGCCAAGCTGAAAAACAGCACTTAGTTTAGTGCATACAATTCATCATTTTGTTTTATCACCATGTGCAATTCCTATGCCACCACCTTTTGTTCGACAAAAAAAATTATCATTTCAGCATTACACCATCACGGTGGGCCCAACACTTTAGTTTACCTTCAAATTATGCTACAGGTGGATACTAATTATGGTGCATCGTGCCAACTAATTGAATCGCATCTCCTTAATTATATGCATGCACCGGTTAATATCTGGGAGATGGATAAGCCTTAGGAATGGCAACTGCTGACAGTAACAGATAGGGCACCCAAGTCATTTTTCTGCTCTCGATCAGCTACTTCATCCATTCCAAATTATAAGACGTTAAAATATTTCATAATTTGTAATAAATTTAACGTCTTATAATTTGGAACAAAGGGAGTGTTACTCTGTAGGAGTATGATACTATAGTTGCTAAAGTGATTGACACAAGAGAGAAGTAAAAACTAACACACTCCGGCCGATCCGGTAAGGACCGTTATGGGTATGAAAAGAATTTCCCTTGCTGGCTGACCGACAGGGCCTCCATATAATACATCCATTTGATTCTTGTAAAATAATAAAAAAAACTTGGTCACCATGGCAGTACTCTCCCATGCATGCATATGCATTCTTCTCCATCCGTTTCCCCATGCTCTGCTCTGCCCCTGCTGCGCTTGCGCTTGACTCCACCACCGCCCTCTCTGTCAGCACTGCCACTCTCCATGTGCCCCAATCACTGCATCTGTCGCCACCTCCACCTCCATTTCATCTCAGGCCCCGGCCGGCCGGCCTCTTAAAACCCACCTCTCAGGCTCTCAAGTCGCCATTCCTATAAAGGCTTTACACCTGCTCCGTTCCATTCCAACACCAACACACCTTTCAAGTTTCACCGGCCTACCCTATAAAGCTCGATTTATTTCGTCGTCCCTCAAATCTCCTCATCTCTCTCTCGCGTCGTCACTGGAGAAAAATCCAGCAGTGTTCATGTGTTCCATATTTCCTTCGCATTCAGTCATCGGCGTATCGTCGCAGGCGCAAGGCGGCGGCGGCGGCAGTGGGTTTCAGAGCCCTGCTGAGAGCAGAGCCAGCAGCATGAGCAGCGGCGGCAGCTCTCTGCCCTCCCCTTCTGCAGCACCTGCCTGCTCCAGATCATGGTGACATTCTATTCTGAGACCAAAAATCATTTGGCATTCCACCTTGTCCATCTTTTGCTGTTGTTCCTAATTGATTACATTATACATTACATAGGTCTATTTGCTCTAATCATCGCCTAAGTAGTATGATCGATCACCTAGCTAGCTGGCTAGCTAGGTGAGGATGAAGAAATCATTGTTTAATTACAGTGTTCATTCAATCACTTGGTGGTGGTCAAATGAAGTAGCCTGATGATCGATGTGTATGCTATGAATATGGAATGAATTAGGTCTATAAGCGAGGATTCGTTGCGGAGGTACGTGAGCTACGCGAGCGAGAGCTGCATCCAGGAGCTGCTGGCGGCGTCCGACTCCGGCCGGGGCGGCGCCGACGGCGACGGCGACGACGGTGGAAGGTGCTGGTGTACCACAACGGCGTGGAGATATCCAAGCGGCGGACGGGGCCCGCGCACGTCTTCCGGAGCCGCTGGCTGCTGCAGGACGTCTCGCCGGAGCAGTTCATGGCCGTCGCCAACGCCGTCGACGCCGCCAAGGTACCATAGATACCTTCCTGCGTATATATTAATTACTATTCGCTCGCGACACACTGATAGTTAATCTACGAGTAGTATTATAGCTTGTTAAGGCGCCGTTCGGTTACGCTGTTCCCGGCCATTCCTAGCCAAGAATGGTTCCGGTGCTATTCAAAATATTGAAGAAATCGCAGATCAGAAATGATTCTGGCCCGGAACTGTGGTAACCGAACGAGGCCTAAAGGGTTTGAGGAAAGTGGTTATTCTAAGATTTCTTTTTCATTTCCATTTCAAGTAGCTAGGAGTAACTTCTTTACTTACTTTAGGTCAAAAGGCTGATAAAGTGATCCTTAACACAACGGACGGCTTCCGCAAATCGAAGACTTTGGGTTCCATCCATATCTGTTGCCATGGGCCGTGCTTGTGGTTGTGGTTAATTAAAAGCTAGCGACCTGCTTTGGGTAGTAACTTTGCTCGATCTAGGACTAGCACCTTATGTCCATGTGACTTGGCTAATCAAAACCGCCTTTCGTTGAATGCAATGCTGAGTACGATTTGCTTCATCCGAGTAGGAGTAATATACACATGTACTCAAAGTCCCAAAGCCAAGTTTGTCCTTAGTTAAACATATTTAGTTTTGATCATACATAGAAGAGCTTACTAGGACGCAGTGTCCATGTCCCTATCTGTCTAGATTTTAGGGTCGTCAGCAGCTTACTAGGACGCAAGGAAAAAACTAAACAGAACCAAAAAAAAAGTACTAGCGTTTTTGTTGGTAATAAAAAGCTGGCGCCTGGCGGTGCCGCCGGTGAATGAGATATACGGTGGTAGCTAGTAGATCAGACGGCAGTAAGTAATTGTGGCTCGTGACTCTTGCTGGTAAATAAATTAAATTAAACGCATGCACTGTGGGCGTGGTGAAGGGAAGCCCTGCTGCGACGTACTACACCCGTGATTCTTAAAGCTTTTTTTGTAGGGAATCTACGTAGCAGGCAGGCACCGTCCGTCCCATCCAACGCCCAACGGTGACCCGGAACTACTCTTACCAATCACCTTGCGACAGCTCTCTTATTACCTAGCGCCAAAAAAAAAAATGGTTCCGTCCATCGGTCAGTTGCAACAAGAGTTTTTGTGAGTTACCTTTTCAGCTTTATTTAGTTATGGACACTCAGAATATTGCTGGAAACGAGCTTTATGGTGAAGAAACGGTGTTTAGGGTTACGGATTGAAAATTTCTTGTCCACAAAATTTGCAATAGCAAATACATACGTACAGTACATGGTAGGTATTGTTTCTCAATGTTTTCTTGAGGACGTAGAGCAGGGTCACTCCTAACAAAAGGCTAAATGAAGAAAAACAGTTAAAAACCGGCGCAACAACTATTACTGGCAAATGACATGTTCAGCATCTGACACCTGTCCTCGGGTAGTCGGGTCCCAAGCGGGGTACTCCTCCTACTTTGTAATAACTGTGTAATAATATAAGAAAAGTAAAAAGAAATGGTGAAGCAGGGGTTCGGTTGTGCCGGTGCTGGAGTATTCAATTAGAACAGAGCAGCAGCAGGAGCATATAGTACCAGAAAGCCGTTGCGCGTGAACAGAGCAGCAGCAGTGAGCATATAGATACTGCCATTACTTTTGGGGCCAGTACCTAATAACAGGCTATATGCTCTGTCGCATTACCAGTCCTTCTATCTAGCTACTCCTACTCTAGGTAGGATAATTAGGTTAAGTCTTAGAGGAAGTTTCATGGTTCTGCTTCTAAGATTAGCATTAGAAATAGTATAAATAAGTTTTCATCACCCTGAAACTCATTCTATCGATGAAACTATTTTCTTGACTGGCCATAAAACTCCCATTGCGACTATTGCGCGAGTCGTTTATATATAGGCTCCTAATAATGTGTAAGTAGCAGGTAGCCAGGCTTTTGTAGTAGCTGTGCCTGTGTTCGTGGTTTCGTGGGGCAAAAAAAGCCTACCCACTCGAAAGTGCATTGGATAGGCTTGGACTCTTATTTTCATCCCTCAACCGTATCAGGCTTGGGCCATATTACTTTTTACCAAGACTGACCCAACTTGAAATACTTTTGTTTGCAATAGTAACATGCCCGCGTTTTTTTTTTCTTTTTTTTTGCAAGTGCAGCAGTGGGAGTCGGACCAGCTGGTGGAGTCTTCGTACATCAGGGAGCTCGGCGACGACCTGAGCATCATCCACCTCAGGTTCGGCGACGCCTCCTCCTCCACCACCACCAGCCGGCGTCCCGCCCGGCCCGCCCGGCGCCGGGACCTGGTCGTCTACGAGCGGCGCCAGGCCATGGACGACGGCACGCTGGTGGTCGCGGTGGCCGCGCTGCCCAAGGAGATCGCCGCGGGCCTGCTGCCCGGCGGCGGCTCCGTCGTCGTCGGCCGCAGCCTGCTGCTGCAGTCCGGCTGGGTCGTCGAGAGGCTCGACGGCGACGCGGGATCGTGCGTCGTGACGTACGTTGTGCAGCTGGACCCGGCCGCCGGGTGGCTGCCGCGCTGCATCGTGAGCCGCCTCAATAGCAAGCTCGTCATGGTCGTCGCTAAGCTCAGGAGGATCGCGCAGGCCACCGTGCCTGCCGCCGCCGCCGCCGCCGCCGCCGCCGAGGTGTGAGTGACGTGGCCGCCACCGAGAGTTATTAGCAGCGGCGCCGTCGGTCAGCTGCTGCACGCGTAGTTGCATTGTGTGCCTAAGTAAGTAAATAGATATCTATACTATATGTATGTTGTTTTGTAGGAACGACGGAGTGCACGCGTCGATCGGGGGATGCCCCGCATCTATATACGTACTGCTATCAGACTATATATGTCAGTGAGAATTACTATCTGTGCACGTTTCAGTGTAATAGAATAGATGTGTTTACCTCAATCGGGGATTTTTTAGATAAAGGATATAAAATCCTGACTTCTATATCCACGCAAGATGTATATACACTACTACATAAACTTTTATAGGACGGCTCCAGATGATTTGTAGGGATGATTTGGCCAGCCGTCCCTACCAAAGCGTGGCTACAAATCATGTATTTATAGGGCGGTTCTCTGACCGCCCCTATAATATCTGTTGGTAGGGGCGGCTCAGTCTAGAATCACCCCTACAGTATATTTTCTCTTAAAAAAATTCAAATCGATTTTGTAGAACCGCCCATACAGTACACTTTACCGGAACATATATATATATACTACTACCATGTAGCTGGCTACAAAATAACTTATTTTGTAGCCACTTTGAGTTACGATAATTACTATATTAATTTACGAGATTATAATAACTTCTTGCTAAGTGATCTACTATAATGTTACGGTAAATATCCCATGTGTTATAGTAACCCAACTATTGTAAATATGTATTGACATTATCGTAAATTAGTATATAAAATTATCGTAAATAGAGGTGACTACAGAATAACTTATTTTATAGCTGGCTACGGAATATACTCTCCATACATATCTATCTATCTATCTATCTATATGATCGGATGCATTGTCGCAGGTCTACAGCCAACGAAAAATATCGCATTTGTATCCAAGGTGAAGCATGGCGAATACTACATGGAAGCCGCCTGGCCTCTGGGTACTTCTATTCTGGGTACTGCTATTGAGGCCATGTCACCGAGACTAAATGGTAATTAAACGGGATAAATGGCTCATTAAACGGACATGGCAAGCCACTGTGTAGCGCTTATAGGCAGGGGCGGATCCAGCACCAGGGCTGGGCCGGGCTCGAGCCCCCGCTACCATCGCCGGATGCATAGAGCCCCTCCTAAGCCCCTGCTATAAATTTATAGCCATTGAACTTTAGAAGGAGAGGCTAAGTGTAGAAATTAAGAAGAATAAGCCCCTCCTAACCTGTATTTCTAGATCCGCCACTGCTTATAGGGCGTGTAAATGGGCTAAATGGTTGTGTAAGCAAACACTACTGTTTTGTCTTGTGTTTATATTGTCCAATAGCTCCACTAATTATCTATCACATTCTTGAGATAGCTTGACATCTAAACACTTATGAGAATGATAGGAACCATAGAAATGTCATTGTTGCTTAAAAGATGAGTCTAATAGCAAGTTTGGTGCTGTGAGATTACACAGGGCTTTCTTCTTGTAAGAAAAAGACTACTTGGGTGGAAATTTTTGGTATTGCTGCTGGACTTGGTGCTGGACCAAATGCTGGTGCTAGTCTTGTTGCTGGACTAAGTGCTGGTGCTAGTTTTGGTCCTCATGCTGATCTTTGTGCTTCCTCACCCTCTCCGTTATCTAGGTGAACATCTACTAGTGCTTTGCTGCAAGAAGCATCTTCTGGTGCTAATCTGAGTGCTTCTGAGTTGCATGCATGCCTTGATAATGACAGTATCGGCCAGTACCACGATAACTTCAACGTCTTAAACGCATGACCACAATGCAAAGTCATCTATCCTATTCTTTCCATCTTAGTTAGGGATGTTTTAACTATGTTTGTTTCTACTATATCTTTAGAATCCGCATTTAGTCTAACCGTAGGATCATCAAGGAGCGGCGGCATCGCTAAGTCCTGACATGGTGGAGATGCTGTCATTAATGAAAGATTGGGAGCAAGGGGATGAAAAACTCTTCATAGCACGGAGAATTTGGAGCTTCAAGAGTCTTTGAAAATATGTATCTTGGTGAAAATGTGTAATCTAGATGACCATATCTATAAGACTATAATAATTATGAACATTTGATATGTGGGCTATACAATTTTTCCTTTATAGGGTTTCTCATGAGGTGTGAGTTTCTACCTAGAAATGTTCTCAACAAGGCAGCCATTGCACTAAACAGCTCCAAGTTATCTTTATGAATCAAGTTTGAACCATTAATGTTGTGCCTTTTCTTGTATGTGGCCTGTGAGTTTGTGAACTGTGAGACTACGCTGGGTCTGTTACTGACTGAAACTTGAGAGAGATGGATGAGTTGGTTGTCTGAATTGAGTCCTGTACTAAGCCTTTATTGAGTCTTGTTTGCATGTTTGGACTGAATCTGTTGTCTTTAATAGTTAAATATTAGAGTTGGTTTTGAAAAACTGAGGTAGGACTTGTAAGACAGTAAGGCCTGGGCCGGCACGAGCATGGCCCAGCCCGGCATGGCCTGACCCTAGGTCCATGGTCTGTAGGCACAGCCCGTGGGCTGGCACGGCGTGACACGATGAACTGATAGGGCCATATCTCAATGGGCCTGACCGTATCGGGTCATGTTGTCCATTTGGCCATCTATAGCTGTAGCACACTCTCTTTGACGAATACAATATATATGCATGATTTATTTGTGGAAAATATAATTTTTTATGTATGATTTATTTGTGTAGTTTCTATTGTTTCTCAAACATAAATATATAACACTCGTTACAAATCAACTAAAATTTACAGGAAGTAATTGCTGCAAGTTTTTCATGGCACGGAGTGTGGAAGAGACCGGTCAGAATACATCTGAGAGATGCGTTCAGAGGGAAGGTGCATCTGGTTGCTTCTCTGGCAATGCAGCCAAGAAGACAGGATGTTCCAGGTACGCTTCATGGAGCCTCGCCAGGACTGGGTAAACTGACTGCAAGGTGAAAAAATGGTTCCTTAGAGCCAACAGCTAAATATGATGATGTTCTAAGTTCATCAGTTCGCTCCCTTTTTCAGTAATAGGCAAACTGTAGTTGAAGGTGTTATGCAAACCTACTCCGTTTCCTTATTCAGCATCTCAGAGAACAACAAAATATCGAGCATTCACATGAGGAATTGTGTATCTTGGTTCAAGAAAACAGAACAAACAAGGTCTTGTGTTTATACTTTAACACTGACCAAGCTGCAAGCACCAAGCCTGCAATACTGTTCTATCCCCTCTTGAGATTATAAATTAATAAAGAATAAGCCGTAATTCGCGATGGTAGTGGTACCTACCATATCAATTCCAAAGCGCTTAATTCCACCGTATATCTGTGGTTCCAGAAATACATCTGCCTGTACAGTGTCAGCAAGCAAATATCACCATCCTTAGATAATAGAGTAGAACTACGAGGTTATAAGCTAAAAGTTTTAGCCTAAAACTTACAGTACCCTCTTTTTGAACGGACAATTTTGTTCCCCAAAGGGCTCATCACAGTAGTAGTTTCAGCGTGTACTGGTGTAAGATTTTTATTTGGTACTTTTGAGTTGCTTATGTGCATAGAGATTTTTGTACAAGGGTAACAGAATTTTTAAAAACCATGAATCCATGGTCGCATAGCATTGCAGCTACCTATCTAAATAAAAATGCTCACAAATAAGGAAATGAGGTTTGAAGAGCAAACCAGCTGGATTTCGTTTCCTGTGGCATATTTGGTGCTGCATCCTTTCAACAACTTCTCAAGAGCTGAACATCCATGGAGAAATAGACATTGAGATGCTAGGGCAGCATAAATTAGGATATCACAAACTATAAAACAACGGAAGTGGACAGAGAACTTGTAAATCATGATAGTCGTTTGATTGGTGTGGTTGTAGATTTCTTTTTCATCTCTTCGCAAAAAAAAAAAAAAAAAAATCATCTAATCTTCACATAATTGACCAAAATGATGATAGGGTACAGAACCTGTGAAGCCCCTATTGATGTGATGCTGTGTCCACTTAATTGCTTCGTTGGAGTCTAACTTCTCCTCGATGAAATTCTGCAGTTAAGGCGAAGAACAAGTTTGCCACATCTACGTCAAAAAAAGAAAGAAACAATCGATACAGTTATTGATATGCGACCACGGATTCATGGTTAGCAGGGAGCTCCTGCGAACGAACTCACCCAGACAGGATAGTTTTGTAGTGGCTGGATGCTTGAACCCACGATGCTTGCAATCTGCAACTCAAAGAAAATATGACCATTTCATTGAGATGCAAGGATTTGGAGGAGTTGGCAAAGTAAATTAGGACGTGTTTTCGTTTCTGTTCTGTTTATCATGAACGTTAAGTGTCTTCAGGATAAAAATTATTTCGGTAGTGTTCCTTTTTTCTGAAACTACTTGAAATGATTTTGGTGGCACAGAAATAGAGACTAACCTGGATATTCAGTGCTCTCTTTTTGGGGTCCTGTGGTAGCAGAGGATACTGGGGGTACTTATCCTCTAGGTACTAGTCCACCATAAGAAACATGAACTTCATGATGGCCATTCAGGATGCAAAAAATACTAAAAAATCTCAAATTGTACAACCTGTATTACTGTACATCATCAGTATATGTACCCCATGCATGCCTTACCAGCAAGATTGCAAACGAATCTGCGACAATCGTTTCGCCATCGACCAATGCCGGAACATACTTGATTGGGTTCAGCCTCTCAAACTCTGTAGCCAAAACGGGGCAAATTAAGCAGTTTTCAGACCAATACTTCTGCACCTGGATTTTGTGAAGGAGAACACTGGTAGACATGTCGATGCTGAAAACCATTTGTATGTAAGCACCTGGATCTGACTGCTCGTTTGCGAGGAGATTCACTGGCTTATACTCGTACTCCAGTCCTTGAGCCCACAGATAATTTCAGAACGTTCATGTTCAGTTAACACCTCTGAAGCAATTGCCCTTGCGGCACAGATCTGACAGAGCCATGAGGATTACCTTTGAGATTAAGGGCTATGCGGACGCGCTGCGAGC